TCACCTGTCGATGGACACGGTGGTCTTCTGAGCCAGCAGGTCCCACAGTTTGACGCTCCGGTCTGCAGACACCGACGCCACCCGCTGGCTCTGAGGGTCGAACCGGCACCGTGTGATGGTGGAGCGGTGGTGATCTGGGAGGGGAAACAAACGCACCTTCACTAACTAACGCTGGAGTTAAAGATCCAGGAGGTGTGAGTTGGCTGTCGTACCGCTGACGTGGTGCAGCGTCAGTCCGCTGGCGGCGTCGCTGACGTAAACGCCGTTCTGTGGATCTGCAGCGCAGACGAGCAGCCGGCCATCCGACGAGGCGCTGCAGGAGGTCAGCAGGCCGGCCTGCCTCCACCGCCACTGCAGGACCAGGACCAGAATCAATATCAGTACTTATTCCCATCAAAACATGAACTGTCAGGACGGAGAATCAGCTGCAACTAACAGATGTTTCTATTATCAATTCGTCTGTTAACCGCTTAGATTCATCACTAATGTCATAAAATGTCCGTTTTACTTTGTTCAGTGATACAAAACAGAGAAGAACTGGCAATCTGAGACACCAGAGAAAGTCTGGATTTATGCTTTTCTTAAATAATTAATTAATCGATAAATCAACAAATGATTTAAAATAGTTTGATCGTGTCAGTACGGCAGTGGTTTAGTGTACTTATGGACAGTTTTAAGGTACTCTACAGTACTCTAGGTGTTCTACAGTTAAATGATAACTTTAGTTACTTTGCAGATTCAGGGTAAACATAAGACCAGCAGATAAAGTATAAAAAGTGACACATCAATGCATCAATAATTATAATCGAATAATATCGTATGTTATTCTGCGTGTTGAGTACTTTTACTTTTCTAAGTATTCTAAGTATATTTTGATGCTTGATTCTGAACACAGGACTTTTACTTGTATTTCTACTTAGATAGGTACATTTATTTTTAACAGTTTATACAGTGAAGTTGAGTTTGTAACTCCCTTCTGCTACATGTGCAGAAAATATACATTAATATTGATAAAATGGGAACAGAAATAAACAATATTCAATGATCAGTGGAGCAGTGCTGAGGATGAATTACAGTTTAAGAGTCTGAAAGCTTGGGGGGAAAAAAGCTGCTCTTTAGTCCGGTGGTGCGGCAGCAGAAGCTTCTATATCTCTTCCCAGAAGGCAGCAGGGTGAAGCGGCTGTGGCTGGGTGAGTACTGTCCTTTAGTATCCACACTGCAGTATTACTATTTACAGAACATGTACACTTTTTTTCTTTTTTTCCTAAACTTTATTTATTTCCTTTTTGAAATTGAATGTGAACATCTAAAATAACCCGAAGCATCACGTTCATCAGGTCTCATTATTAAACTATAAAACACAGTGTGATTCTTCAACACTGCAGTCAAACTGAAAGCTCGATGACCACCACCACAGACGGAGAGAAGAAGAAGAAGAAGAGTTACCAGAGTCTGTCCCGTCTCCAGGTCCGCGGCCACCATGTTCTTGTCCCAGGAGACTGTCACCGCCCTGACGGACACACAGGCTGAGGTTGTTTTTATGATCATTTTCAGGATTAAAAATCCTCTTTTGATATTTGTCCTGGTGTTCGAGGTCTTGGTAACCCTCTGACCTGTCCTCTAGCGCCACCCTCAGGACAAACTCTACATTTACCTTCAGCTCTGAAGGACAACAGCAGGACTTTAATCTGGTTTCATCCTGTTTCTGTCTGACTAACAGATCTAACTGATCCGACGTATAAAATCAATACGTACTAGTAGCGTATCTGTCAATCATAAGTTAAATGCCTCCTGTGAGCTCCATGGATTGATCCATAATAACCTGATCCAGGTAAAGCATCCTGGCTGTGAACAGCTGCTGTCAGCTGAGACTCACCTGTTGCTGTTTGGGATCAGAGCGCACTCAGTGATGGTTTTACTATGAAGTCCATCAAACACCCTCAGAGGTCTGCAGCTCTCCACGTCCTGCACAGGTCAAAGGTCAACAGGACAGGCTTCAGCTTAGCATCACAGCTAGCTCTGCACAAGTTTCCCTCGTGTCTTAGTGCGTCCCGCCACGAAAGCACGGAGAGACGCAAGGAAACCATACGAGGAGAGAAGAAACGAGGGCATATGTTTTTCCTCTGAAGCGTCACACGTGAAGCGTCACACGTGAAGTGACGTCCGTGATGTGATGAGGCGGCAGGTAACTAGAGCTGATCAGCTGATTGCAGCTGTCAGTGCGTCTAACAGCTGTAGAGACTGTTGATGGAGTTTGTGTCCGCACTGTGCCGATACTAAAGACTCACAGTTATCAGTGCAGAGCAGCATGTTTCCTCTCTGCAGCTGTAACCTGTTTAACAAACACCTGCACATGAAGAGCAGCCTGCAACTTGTACTAATCTACGGCTCTCTGTAAAATCTGTAATTATACTGTGTCGTGCTCAGAGGCCCAGGGTCAGTGTTGTCATTACTGAACAACCCGGAATATGATCATTGCGTCTTTTGATTTATGAGGCTAAATGTTTCGGGGGAAATGATGTAACTGAGGAACGCCCAGGAATAATCAGCTTCACATGTGACTGAATGGAAATGATGATAAATGATGTAGAAAGTGTTTCTTGCGGACAGACAGACTCTCCGACTTTAACTGCATCCATAATAAAAGTTACTGGGGGAAATAACATCATGAAAAGAAAATTATTTCTACTAAATGCAGAAAGTTGTTTTGTTGTTCAGACCTGCAGTGAACACAGATTTTTCACTAGATGTTGAAACAGAAAACAAATAAAATGTAAAACTTGAGTTTAATCTCTTATCTGTCTTCACTCTTCTGTCTGGGAAACGGCCGACCAGAACGACTTTCGATTCAAGCGAGAAGCGATGACAAATAAGAGACCTGAGATGCACCTAGAGTATCAAAAGCATGTAGAGAAGAAAGATAAAGAAAGCTCATTTATAACTGCCACTAAAGTGCTTTTAAGCAAGGCACCACCAGCTCCACATGAGCTGCTCAGAGACCATCAGACTGTCGTGTTGCACAGCTGCAGGTGTGACTGACTCTGGACAGGATGCACAGACTGAATCTATAAATTAAGGTAGGAGGAGTTTACCCAGAGGATGGCGGTGCGGTCTGAGGAGCAGCTGAGGACGCAGCGGTTGTTAAAGCAGAGTCGAGCGGCGGTGACGGCGTCGCTGTGAGCTCGCAACACCTTCACTGGAACCTGCAGACACACCAACACATCACTGCACACAGACTCCTTCCTATTAACACCATAAACACATTTTACTTAATTCTATTTAACTGCTTAATATCAAAACGGTAAAAGGTTGTAGTAAGTATTGTTGTTACAAACGTTTGACGAGCCTCTGATGTATAATGAGGCCCAACAAGTACATTTACTCAAGTTCTATAACAGTGGTGGACAAAGTACACAGATCCTCTACTTGAGTAAAAGTACAAATACCTTTGCTAAACATTACTGCACTAAAAGAAGTCTTAAATTTAAATTTCTACTAAGTACCTGCTTTTTAAAATACTTGACATGACAAACATAATTTATTGGATAGATTAATTTTTAACAAACATCATATTTAATAAACTCTTCATGTAACTGAAGCTGTCAGATAAATGATCTGAAGTAAAAAGTACAGTTTCTCTGAGACCCTCTGAGATGTGGTGGAGTAAAAGTAGAAAGTGACATGAAAACAAAATCCTCAATTTAAGTAGAATTACCTCTCATTTGTACTTAAGTAGTACTTGAGTAAGTGTTCTTAGTTACTGTCCACCACTGTTACTTCAGTCTGTATTTTACTTACTTCAGTTTCAGGACTCTTGCAGTTGCTTTTACTCCAGGGAAGAGAAATACTACACCATCATATTTATCTGGCATCTTTTGTTTCTTGACAAAGTCAAGTTACAGTAAATTGAGCTTAAACGATCAGTCAATCAATTAATCATCAATTAGTCTATTTGTCATATATTAAAAAAATTATCAGGGACTGTTTTGACACATTTTCTGGTTTCAGCCTCTCAGATTAGACAATTTCATCTCTGGATAATTTTGCTTCTAATATAGAATAAATTGACTAACAAAATAATCATCACTTTAATACACACTGAAAATCACCATTAACGTTTGTTTCTGCACAATATAAACTAGTTAAAGATGAGCCTCACCTCAACCAACACAATAAAAATGCTGTTTGAACATCAATGCATCAGTAATAATAATCTAAAATACGATAATAACATTAATGTAACGATACAGGTAACGTTAAGTCACACAGCACGAACGTCTCAGGTAAAATTCGACGCTCACAACGGGCACTTCGCTGCATTGAGTTACTTTGATACTTTAAGCACATTCTTCTGATAATACTTTCACTTGTAATTGAGTATTTTTACAGAGTTGGTACTTTTACTACAGTAAAGAACCTGCATTGCTTCACTGATGAAGACGGTCAGTGAACGCACCATGTCGGGCTAGCCGTTAGCCGCCTAGCTAGCCGTTAGCCGTAGTTTTTACCTGGCTCTCCTGGCTCCACTCTCCGGCTCCTCTCTCCTCTCCTGTCCGCTCCTCCTTTTCTCCTCCTGGAGGTTCCTCAACTGATAAAGGGTCCAAGTTTTTCGACGCCATTTCAGAAACTTTCGGGAAGAAAGTTTGTTTCAAACTAAAGTTTGTTTGTTAGCTACAAGTGACTTTAGCTCCCGCCGCGGCAGTTACCATAGCAACAGTCCCTCTGACCAACGCGAGATGTTGCCTTCAGGAGCTGCGGGACATGACACAATTGAACATGTAATAAAGCATTCCTGGGGAAGTCGGGCTTTCAGTAAACTGTTTTCTAATACAGAAAGGTTTTTATTTCAATCTGCAGAGTGTGGCTGTTCTATTCCTACCTTCTCCTTTCCCTCTTCCACTGTTCTTCCCTACATTCTACTTAATTTTCCCAACAACTCTGAAGGAGACAAAACTACAAATAAATCAGTCAAAAGAATCAATGACAACAAAACAAGGCAGCAACGTTAAACGAGGGACATTTTATTATTTAAATGAACAAAACAACAGGTTGTCTGTTGTGTAAAATTAAAGAAGACCGGAGGTCAACTCTGTTGTGTGATTTTCGGGTTGTTCGTCCTCACAGAGGACACACTTCCTGGTTCCTCACCAGGTCTGATGGGACTGGACCTTTTTCAGTCTGGAAGGAGGGACGGAGACAAAGAGACAGTCAGACAGACACTCCAAGGGCATTAATATAGTGTGGGAAACGCTGGCATGTAAACAAAAGGTTAAGTTTTTTCATTACGACCTTGAGTAAAAATAATAACGCTGGTAATAAACTCTCTCGGCTTTGTGTCCCACTTCCTGCTGTTCATGTATCCTTCAGATTAAAGGTCTGAATGAGGAGCTGACTGAATTCATAATCCTGCTTCACAGAACCTTGAACACACGGAGGATCACTGTTTTAACTCGGAGGCTGTTTCCTACAGACAGAAGTTATTTTATTACACCAGGCAAGTTATAATATTAACGTGTGCGAAGTCTCCGTGACCTCTGACCTTTTCAGCAGCTCCTCTGTCGACACACGTTCGCCGTCGCTGTCCTCATCACTGTCCTCTGAGCTGCTGTCCGACGCCTCCTTCTTACTCTTCTTCTGCTGTTTCCCTTTGTGTTTGTGCTTCTTATGTTTCTTCTTCTGGGGGGAAATAATGAAGATGGAGTCAGAGAAGAAGAATCAAACAATCAGGGGACATTTTGTTTTGCCTTTTCTACTTTCTACCTTCTTCTCCTTCTTGTGTTTGTGCTGCTTCTTGTTCTTGTGTTTCTTCTCTCTGCTCCTCTTGTTGGGTTTCTCCTCCTCACGGGGGGAGCAGGCGGAGGTGGCGCCTCCTCTCACTGAACAGGGGAACAACAGTCGACATCAGAGCTACAGCAACACGTGTTTGCACCTTATTCACAGAGAACCGTGTGGCTGGATGAGTTCAGCTGCTCCAACTCGTTTAAATATTACTCTGGTGATCGTCTCATATTCAGACTAAAACCAGCAGTGAACGTCTCTCCTAACGAGTCCTGAGTGTCTGATTATCTGTTTGCATTGGTTTCGAACAGCCTTCTAGGGCAGCACCTACGGCAACGTGTGACGTCAGCACGTCAGCACGCCAACTTGCGTCTCTTCTAGCTAGCCTTAGCATCAGCTAACTAGCTATTGAAAAGCCAAATGGCGAACAGACGCCCCAGAAATCAGACTTGAAAACAAACGTGGTTGTTTACAGTCACGGGCTAATAGAATAGTTCAGTGTTTAGTTCTCGCTAACCTTTCAATAATCGGAGCGAGGAAACGACTAAAAATGGTTAAAAATGAATATTTGTACACAAATTGTCTGCCATCAATTTTTGTGAGCTGTCGCAGCTGCTGCCGCGCTGGTTTATGGGCAATAGGCAGCATCGATGCTGCCTTAAAAAACGTCCGTTACTGGGGCAGCTTGAAGGCGTCGCAGGAGACAGGAAGAGGTCGTCCGAGCCGTTTCGAACAGCACTCGATGCCTCGCTGTTAGACACCTTCTGAGTCGGCAGTTTAGCCCGTTTCCAACACAGCCTCTCTGACAGCCAGCAGGGGGCGACTCCAGCGGCTGCAGAAAGAAGTGTGATTGTAAAGAAGTCTCGGGGGGCTTTCACACCTGTAGTTCGGTTCATTTGGTTCATTAGTTTGAGTTCTGGTCCGGTTCGTGTTCACACTGCAGGTTTACAAACGAACCAGAGAAGTAACCGCAAACCGCAGAGCCTGTTATGAACAATAACGTAAAAACAGGACGTGTCCAGGAATAATTCGGGGCTTATTCGCCTACAGTATTCTGTGGTGTAACGATCACATTTTTTAATGAACTGACAGGGTAAAGTGAATACGACTTGCCCTCTTTTATAAACAGATTTTAACCTATTAATCAGGGAAATACCCGCGCTGACAAGTAGGCTATACCTTATAAAATGATTTTCATAAACACAGCATGGCATATACAGATCAATTATTTGATCGCTGAACACATTTCGCGGTCAGATGATGGATTTATTAGTGGTTTAGCTTTGGAAATAAATCCTGTGGTTGGTTCGTTTGCTTTCACGCCACAAGCGAACCGCACCAGAGTTCGTTTGAAAGCGTACCGAGACCACCTTGAAGAGTTTGGTCTGCTTTTGGTGCGTTCACATCTGCCCAAACGAACCGCACCAAGGGGGGAAACGAACTCTAGTGCGATTCAAACGAACTTAACGAGGCAGGTGTGAAAGCACCCCAAGAGAAAATGTTTCTACTTGTCAGCTGATTTATTCCCTCAGTAAACACTTTCCTGATGAGTTTATGGTCTCAGTCGCTAGTTTCAAGTCTTCTTCAACACAGCGTGATGTTCATTTAGTAAATTATGGTCCCATTTAGAGGAACAGAGACCAGGAAGCAGGGGAGGCTTTAGGGCGGGGCTACAAGCTGATTGACAGCTAGTTAGCTCCACCCTCTCATCCAAATATGGTCTGGTTCCAAAAAAATAAATGGCGACAGGCAAACTGGAGGCTTCAAAACGGTAGTCCACAAACCAACGGGTGATGTCACGGCGGCTACGTCCACTTAATAAAGTTTTCCTTCTCTCTTGCTTCTAGAGGAGGTTGTAAACATTAAGTGAACAGGATAAAAAGAAAGCTGCACGCGTTTTCAGGTTTGAGAGTGAGCGCGAGGATGGCGAGGACTCACTGAGAGCAGCTGAAGGAGGCGGCAGCTTCGGACCAAACTCTTCTTCTTCTTGTTCTTGAGTCGAGTTCTGAGATGAAACCGCCGCTTTAAAAAGAAACAGACGACAAACAGCATGAAAAGTTAGAATGACACAGAAACAACACGCCTCAGCTTCTGCTTCTAACAGCCTCTTTTTATTTTAAACATTGTTTGTTGTTTATTTGGACAACTGCAGCAAATTTATACTTTATTTTAAACTTTAAGGCGCCTTTACGCTGCGATTTTGAGCCGTCTCAGACCAAAGTTGACAGAAACGTGATGAAACCTCTGGTCCCTCGATCTCACTGTGAGACACCAGCTGATTTCACAACGTCAGCATGTCGTGTTTCTGTCTTTGAACGCAGCGTCCATCTACTTTACATTCACTGTATCTTCAAAACATCAGAATGATGCAAATCAAGCAGTGCAGTAAAACCAGTCTGGTCAGGTTTCATCTGTTCTTACCCGCCTGCTGGCCCGACGCGGTGGTGGCGGAGGAGGTGACGGCGAGGAGGTGATGTTGAAGAGATTCAGCGGCTGCGGCTCGACTTTGAGCTCCTCCTCCTTCACGGCCTCCTCATCGTCGCTCTCTCCCTCGGATGAAGAGGAGGATTTCTCATCAGAGGAGCCGGCGAAGATGGCTTTGAACAGATCCATGTGAGGCCGGCTCTCCTCCTCTTCCTCCTCCTCCTCCTGGTCTTCGTCACCTCCTTTCTTCTCGTCTGAGCTCGGCCGACCCGCTGACTTTGTCTGTGTGAAGAGAACACGAGGTCAGATGTCCAATCACGTTCCCGCTCTCTAAGAGGAAAAGCCCTTTCGCTGGACTCACCTCCTCCGCTCTGCCGGTTGGGGTCTGATCGTCGGTGCTGGTGGACGCAGGTAAAGCAGGTACGGAGGTTTGTTCCAGTTTGACCTCGCTTTGGTTTCGTGCAGCGCTGAGCAGCTCACTAAGGGGGTCGTTCTTCTTCTCCCCCTCCTGGTCTGAAACGTCCCACCGAGACCTCTTCCCAGCCCCCGGAGGCTTTGGAGGAGCTGAGGAGAGGAGGAGGAAACATATGATGAGTTAATGTTCAGGCTTTAGGTCTAAAGGCTCTGAGCTTTGAGCGCCCCCTGCAGGTGGATCAGGTACCTGGAGGTTCTCTGCTCTCCGTCACAGTCAGGAAGTTGAAGACTGAAAACTTGTCTCTCTTCACTTTGGGCAGACCCACCATGCTCGACCTGCAGCGCCAAAAACAGGCAGTTATTTAGACTTTAAATCAAACAGGAAGGAGTCAGAGACTGAACTTCCTGTCAGGTCTAGAGCCTCTGATTAACTGATGGTTCTGATTTAATCCCAAAAATCAGTTGCAGAAGTCGGATTTCAATCTAAACTCGGTCCCGTTTTTTCCAGGATTCTCCCTTATTTTTATGTTCTCTCCCGTTTAAATCTCTTCCTGGAAATCTCCCATATTTTTAACCTTTCTAAAAAATAAAAACCCCACTCTGCGTATTTATTATGTTCTCTGGGTTCCCCTCTGGTAAAGCAGGCGGCAGTTATGCCATGACATCTAGTGGACGGGAAGTCACTCATTCAGCACTACAAACAAAAAGACGAGAAGAAGAAGAAGAAGAGCAGCGCGAGAGGATTCAAGGATGTATGACCATGAGAGGGAGAAGCGAATTAAACTCCCGTAACCTCACAGGTGCGGGTGCGTGGCGAGCGTCTGGGCGAGGAAATGTGCGAGCGAGTTGTCAGTAAATGTACAGTGTAGGTCGCAGTGCTAGTAAAAGTCTGTCTGCTGGAAAGTGAAGGCGGTTAGCGCTGGCTAACATCTCCCTGAGCTTCAGACTGCGGTCTGAAGGCTGAGCAGGGCGGGGCGGAGTCACGTGACCACACACGGTATCATGTTTCAAGGTGGAGGGAAATTAACACACACGCTACGTGGGCCCCGTGGAATGAGTTGTCAATTGCGTGCGGACACGACCGCACAAAAGAATTGCACGCAGGTATCAGCCGCGGTAGAAAATATCAGTGCAGCCGTTCTTCTCAAATGAAACGGGACTTCACTCCTGGTTTTAATAGTGATACCACAAGAATGTAAATTTTGTATTTCAAACAAACAGGAGACTTATCAGCTAATTTTAACAAAACTCCCTTCACGCAATGCATCATGGGAATTCTGACGGACGGACTGTATTTCACCCCGGGCTCACACAGGCCTCAACTTCCACTGGAAGTGTTTCAGCAGCGGAGCGTGCAGCCTGGCCCACCTGTTTTTAGCACGTCCTTTTGTGCTTCTACCTTCTTCACGGCTCTCTGTGACCCGCTTTCGTTCTGATCTGTAGATCCCACAGGGAGCATTTCAGAATAAGAGCGTTTTGCCTGCCTGATTTTGTTGACATGTTTAGATTTTATCGATTTAGTGATTAATGCTTTTTGACCTTCTACTTTGATTAAACTCTTTCTTTTTTGTCTGTTTTAACTGTGTTTATTGTTAATTGATCAGGCGTCTGCACGGGGTATTTTATTTTGAAAATGGCTGTGTATTCTCTCCAGAGACACTTCTGGTGCGAGCACGAGCATTGGCTGGAGAGGCTGCGACGCAGACGGACTCAGTGGACTTTCGGAGTGAATCCGGGGGGGTCATGTAAACTTGGTTTAAATGACTTTGTAGCAGGTGGGCCCCGTGACGAAGCTCCGCCCCCCGCACGGCGGCATCATCATCCTCAGTGGTATCAGACCTATTTTTAGTGCTGAACTTACACACACTTCTGAGTTTTAATTTACATAATGTAGGAATGTTCACAGCATTTCACTTTAAGCAGGTCTCACATTCTGACCACCTGACTGTAGTCACTTAATGTAAGCATTAGTTGCTAGTTGATGGGGTGCACGCCGCAGGGCGGGTGTGGTGACAGGTGACAGGTGTGTGTGTGTGCGTGTAGTACCCGGGGTACGGGTGGGGCACGTTGAACCTCTTGCAGAGCAGTTTGTCCGGATGCCACTCGAACGTTTCTCTGGTCAGTTTCCCGAACATCTTCATATTGACGGCAGCCTGTTTGTCGTCCACGTCGCCCTGACAACCAAGACAACCACAAACAGCAACGCAGGTTTACAAACAGACTGATTTACACATTAAAGATCCGTTTAATGTGTAATGTCCTCTGTGTTTGTCTTGTGGAGAAAATAACCCCCGACCACGGACTCCAACACTCACTAACTGTAACCAGGCAGGGAGGCACTTTGCAGGTGCATTATGGGGAATGTAGGATTCAGTGTTTCTGGACAAAAAGTGAGATATGGACTGTTTTCTTTTTAATTTATCTCTCAACAAGTGCAACTACTTTATCCAACAGCCGCAGCCCCCCTTAAATAAATATTGATTAACTCAGATTACTGACAGCGATGGCGGCGGGTGGACGTATTACGGTCCAGAGCGGCTCTTCCTACCTCCTCGTCACGCTTGACCTCCACGCTGTCGTCATCCTCCTGCTGTTTGGCGCTGGTGAAGCGGGAGGAGAGCGAGGAGGAGGTGGGTCTGTACAGGATGGAGGCTCGGGCGAACTCCTCCCTCTCCCTGCTGCGCTCCCACTCCGTCACCGCCGGGTCCAGACTCTGCTCCAGGGCGTCTGAGACATCAAATAGTCTCAGTTACATGTTTTTCTCTTCCTGTTGTCAATCAAATAAATACTAAAGTGTGAAGATTTTACACAAAAAAACCCAGCAGCGAATAAAGCCGTGTTTTTAATTAAACTAGTTTACGGTGTTTCAGTGTGACGGCGTGGGGCAGCACGGTGACGGAAGGCATTTGGTGTCACGTCTAAATGAGCTGCAAACAATTATTCAGCAAACTTGTTTAACATGCAAGATGTTGGCAAAATGCTGAAGAAGCTCCTGCAGTGCATGATGGGACACGTAGGACGGAGCCTCCTACCTTTGTCTCCCTGCTTCAGGCGGCTCAGGTACTGCTCGTAGCGCGCCTGTTTGCTGGGGTTCTTCTCAAACGGTCTGAAGGTCTGTGAGGAGGTCTGGACGCCCTTCCACACGGCCAGAGCCTCCTGCTCGAGGCCGGAGGCGGCCGCGGACGTCGCGTCCCACCTGCCCGACGACCGCGGGGCGCCATGGGAGTGCGGGGGGTTGGTGGTGGTTTTGGTGGAGAGCACGTTGGTGGAGTTGCGGAGGTTGAGCAGTCGCTCCCTGTCTTCAGCCTTCAGCAGCTCCATGACTGAACTGGGACCTGATTCAGGATAAAAACATCTATTACATGTTTTTATAATATGATGCGTCTTGTTTCAAACAGCTCGGCACAAAACACGTCTGTTAAACTTTGTTTTGGATATAGTTTTTCAACTATTTTCATGATCCATTAAATTTATCCAGTATTGTCTCTGTTAATGATTTAATCTATAAAATATTAGAATGTATTTTATTCTAACTCTTGTTTTTTATTCACCATTAAAGTCCATGAAACTAAACCCAGCAGGACCTTAAACTGCTGATAACTGATTCTTTTCCTACCTTGCAGGGTGTCTTCTCCCAGCAGCGCCCCCCTCTGGCCGGAGTCCAGCTGGTGGCGTCCTCCTTGTTGGGGCTCCTCTTTAACCATGTGGCCCCTGGAGGCCCTCAGAGCCTCTGCCAGCGCAGGACTGACCCCGGAAAGATGAGAAACATCGACTGACGGACGGAAACGATGGACGGGGCGATAGTCTCTGGGCAGAGAGGGCGGAGGGAAGATCTGCAGGCGGACAGAGGTCAGATTAGCGAAGGAGTTTATTTCAGCGACCCGTCAGCAGGAGTCTGAGGACGCTCACCGTTTTCTCCTCAGACGGTTTTTGAGCCAGAGTGAATCCCTCCAGGATTTTGCCGAGGTACGACGCATCTTTGCTTTTTTCTGTGAACATAAAAAAAAAAAAAGTATAAATTATAATCTTTCAAACATTTCTTGATACAGATTTTACTAAAAAGCAGCGCTCAGCGTCAAAAGGCTCTGAATCAGCAGCAAAACAGCTTTTCTGGTTAAAGTAAAAAAAAATCCAAATATAAAAATAACAGCTGAACTAAAATATAATTTCTTCAGGTCCAAAACATTACTGAAAACTGAACATCTGTATGGTGACGTGAAGTCTGACAGCAATAAAATATGTCTATAAATATCAAACTAGAGACACACTTGTACAAAGAAGCAAAAGAAACAGAAGTGAAGTATCTGTGTACGTTTACTGAAGCCCCTTTTCCACCGCACAGCTCGACTCGCCTTTTTTTGGTTTTCCATTGTTGAAAAGTTGTACCTGCTACCAGGTGCTTTTTTTTCGTGTCACCTCCGTCGAGGTTCCAAGATACTAAGACGTGACGTGAAAACGCAGCAGACTGCTGATTGGTCAGAGAGAATCGTCATTGTTCACTGCATCATCATTGCGTGCGCCTGACAGAGGCCAGCAGCAGGAAGTTTTATATTTCACAGTTTTCATACGTTACTTCATCACTAAATCCACTTCTGAGAAGTTCTGAGGTGACAAATCAGCTGCGTAGATTTCCAATATTGACAGTTTTGTGCTTGAAAGTTTTCGGAGTTGAGGAGCTCCGCCAAGTGGCGGCGGGGGAAGCCTGCGCCAACCCGCAGGAGCAGCTGGCGAGGCCGGCCAGCCGCCCGCTCACAGAGCCCCCGCCGTCACACAGATGTCCGTTTGTCTGGTGACTGTAAACTATTCATTGTTAGTAATGAACGCAGCGACACTGAGCCCAAAACGAATTTCCTCACGGGGAGAATAAAGGATATCGTATCGTCTAGAGAAGACTGTTACATTAACAGTCATCTAAGATGGAGAACATTTTACCTGCTAAACATTGTTAGCATACAGCACAAGCTCACAGAACACGACCGTAGACTCGTACTGCCTTGAGAGTTCACACAGCCTGTGAACTTGTGTTCTTCTATTATCCCTAACAGCAGCCGGACGGGATGAATAATAAGGTGTGTCTGGGTTTTGGTGCTTTGAACCCCAGGTTTTGGTAATTCAATCTAAATCAAAACGCTTTGTAGAAATATTTAAAATTTAAGGACAATTCTTTTAATGCACAAACTTTCCAGGCCTCTCCAGGTCTTTCCCAGGCAGCGTTACCTCTCTTCTTGGTGTACTGCTGTGGGGCCGTCCAGCCGTACAGGCCGTCTCCGGGCTCCTCTCCTCCCAGCTCCGTGTCATACCTGGACATGGAGTCTCTGTGGTAAATGTCTTCGTCGTCGTCCTCCAGGGCGCCCACCCCGAACGCCTGCAGGTCAAAGGTCAGCAGCACCATTTAAGAGTCACAGCCTAATTAGATCATTGCTAATTAAAAAGGATCTGGGCTTCAGGGGGACCCACCTGTCCCGCCACGCCCCCTCTCCGCTGGCCTCCCTGCGCGTCTCCGAACAGTCGGCTCCTGGTCTCGGACTGCGGCTTGAACAGGTTGATGTGTTCGGGCGCTCCTCGGCCCTGCAGCGCCAGGCTGGGGTCCAGGCCGCGGTACCCCAGACCCTGAACCCCCAGCCTGGGGTTGAAGTCCACCGGAGTCACGTCCTTCGGGGCAAAGGTCACGTTCTCTGGAGCAAACTCCTCATCGTCTTCGTCCTGCCGGGCAGAGAGAGAGAGGAAGCAACGTCATCGTTCATGATGTTTTTATTGTGTTTAAATGTTTGAGAGGTTTCTGGTGTCGGACTCAAAGGCGTCAGGGTGGTTAGAGACTGGAGGACCGAGACTTCTCCTGAGCTCTGTAACCACATTTTAAAGGGGGGGCTTTGTTTCACGATCCTGAGAGCAAAATGATTCAACAAGACCCGGTGGGATTTTCATTAATATCTGACCTTCTATATATTTTATTTAAATTGTGTAATAACTTTAAACAGAATATTACATTCAGCCACAGATTCTAAAACGTGTTTTTGGATCTTTTATATCACAGAAGTCTGAATCTCTTCATGTTTTAGTCAAACTAAATAAGACGTGTGAAGACTTCCTGTTGTGACGGACATTTTCTAGACCTTTCTAGAACACCTGAATTTAACAATAATAATAACAACTGATCATTAGTTACAGTTCTAGATCAGAGCCCAAGTCTTTGTTGACCTGCAGCACAAACTGTGTTGTGTGTGTGTGACAACATTTTCTGTCTCCAGCCCGGACATCTCAGTGTGAATCAGACAGGTCTCACTCGTCTCTCCCACCTGTGAGTCCTCTGATCCAGCGGGGGGCAGCACACAGGCGTAAACTCTGCTACCTCCATCTGTCAGGAGGAGACAGAAGAACAGATGAAGCAACAGATCACAGGACCAGATCAGAAGTGCTGGGAGGCCCGTCGCTTTAAGAGCAGCTGTAAAGCTGGCGTGAAACCTCGTGCGTACCCGTCGGCTGTCGGCGAGCTTTCCTCTTCACACGAGGGCCGACACCCTGACCTTCCTTCCAGCCCATCCTCCTCAGCAGCTCCACCCCTATGGACAACCTGAGGGATAAAACCAACGCACCTCAGACTCATTCTGCAAATCAGGAGACAACACACAGTTTTCATATTTCCTGAAACTCCTACTTTTATTAAACAGGACACACTTTTCAGAGACAAAAGCAAGAGAGATTAAAAAATACACACCAGACAGGACAGAGAAACTTTTAGAAATGTAATCTGTGTTTGCATTAATAAGGGATTTAAAGAATTATTATATCAAGAGTTGGAACGCTCTTCTCTAATCGTTCTTTTCATCATAATCAATTATTTCTCATTATATCTAAAACTATTTTCCAAAAAAAAAAAAACTGCTCATTTAGTCCAACAAAACCCCAAAGATATCAACTTCTGAGCGGTTTGAGTTTCAAAACCTCTCCAGTGAGCGCGGAGGATATTTTGAGATCACCGACTGGCTGTCAGCCGACCACAGCTGGGCGCCCGTTTCACCAAATCATGACACCGTATTGTTCCACGCATGAGAGGCCTTTAGGACACACAAATCTACCCCCCCGGTGCGATTTGAGCGGGAGGTTGGCGGTTACCTGGCAGGTGCGATCAGCTCCTCCAGCAGAGTGTCTCCGGGGATCAGCGCCGCCTGAGCGCTGACGGCTCTCGCCTTCTCACTGGCCTTGTCTCTGCGACTGGACGAGAACTCCTGGCTGGTGGTGATCTCTCTGGGAGCGATGCCGTGCTCGCCGAGGTCCTGACACACAACAACAACAACAGCATCAGCACTCAGGCTTCGCTCTGCAGGTAAATCCGAGTTGTTTCTGCACCCAGACTGTAAGAAATGCGCTCCATCGATTAAGTTGCATTGCCTAAAACACATTTCAGCAGTTCTGGTCCGTACCTCCTCGTCCATGAAGTCTTCTGGTCTGGCATGAAGTTTGTCTGCTTTCTGTTGCCGTGATGACACAAAGGTTGACGGGGCCCAGCCTAAACAACAACAACAACAACAACCAGAAGTCAGCTTACTGACATTTCACGCCTGGAGGTAAAGGTGGTTGTTGTTGTGGTACCTTGACTTTTAACCACCTAAAGTACAGCTGCAACGATTAACTGATTATATGTCAACTATTAAATTAATCACCAACTATTTTGACAATCAATTAATCAGTTTGAGTCATTCTGTGATTGCAGCTTCTTAAATGCTTGAAACACATTCCTGAGGATCTCTCTCCATTTTTCTAAGATCAGTGGCCCTCAGGTTCATGCGACTGGTTTTGTTTCTGGTTTGAACCCAGACATCTTGTTTATTACAGCCATGTCTAACGTAAGACTTTTTAGACTTTTAATATTTCAGACAGTTTATCCTCAACAATTCATTAATCAGATTTTCTCAGTGACCACATGTTACAACCGAACTTCCCCGGAGGTGTATCGGAGTGACGGAGATCAGATCCAGATCCTCCTGGACCACCAGGGTCACAGCAGGTGAGCAGGTGTTGCGTTGCAGCAGCACTGACCTTCTTTAGTGCCGACAGTGTTGAAATAACCGGCCGAAAACCCTCCAGTGAACGCCCCGTGGAACCTCTGATACCGTCCCTTCTCATCCTTCACCGTCTGCTCGTGCAGCGGAACCGGCTTCTTCAACGGCTCGTCTGCAACAAACACATTTTACACACACGCAGTACGTCACATATACATGTTGGAGAGAGTATTCAAGTAGTAATCACACATTTAAAATGATTTATTCACTTGAGCAAGTAAAATACACTCAATGTTACGAAAGATGGTCAGTTTAAGAGTGAAGGGAACCTGTAAGCAGTATTTGAACGTCTCATACTGTAAATGCATGTATGTTTTTAATATTTTGTTTAGAGAATTTCTCCACGCAGACCAAACCCATTACAAAAATCTCCCAATTTGTTCCTTGGCTTTCAGGTAAGACGTATCTCAGGAATCTGGATTATATACAGTTTAACACAACCCTTCAATTGCACATACACCTGAAACACCTGGTACACTAAACTACATCGACTTTAAAAGGAAATGTATTGTTGCCTCTGTATTCATCCAGTTAGCTTTGATTTCTACTGTTAAGGGGAAAGTTAAAGTGAAAACCAGGTCCAGATCAAAAACCACTACACCTAGAGCTGTCAGATCTGGACTAGATTACCCCAGAGAGGCTAAAGTTTCAGATTTGTGAAACCTTTATTTTATTTGTAAAAACAAAACTAGGGAGATTTAACTTGTTGTTTTATACACATTACACCATAGTGACGTTACCTGCTCTTTTTTCCACTTTCACAAATCTGAAACTGTTTTTTTAAAAGAAACTTTAGCCTCTCTGGATCAATCTAGTCCAGGTCTGACAGCTCTAGGTGTAGTGGTTTTTGATCTGGACCTGGTTTTCCCTTTAACTTCCCCCTCTCGAATGGCCGACTCTTAAAAATAACTTCAGCGTCGACTTCATTTACAAACTGACTCCGCTTCAGAAAACCGACAGTAAACATGACGTTAAGAAACAGATTGTAAATAAAAGACTGAGGTTTGGATTAAATTACTTGCTGGTTTGTAAATCTACTCACAACTGGACGGTAAAATATCTTAACTGACAACCCGCTGAATGTGGTCGTTCAGCAGGATTTGTAAGTTACGATGATATAAAACAGCCAGGTATTTGAATGGAGTCTGGTGTACAGATCAGGTGGCTAGGCTAACAGCTAACAACTCAGAGCTTGTTATTAGCTAGCTGCTCGTTAGCTTAGCTTAGCAAAGTGACTGCTGGAAACGTCCTGGCTCATCTCTCGCCACATGAAACAGTCGGAAAGTGTTAAAATCGAAGCACATTGATTATAAAGATATTTTAGAATGAACTCTACCTTCTTCCAGCGGCTCCAAAGGAGTCCCGTAACTCACAAAATCCTCGTCGCTGTCACTGTCGGACGCCATGTTTGTTACTACAACTACGGTAGGCGCAGGAGAACAAACTTCACAGCCGAAGGAGAAACGTTGACCAGTCGTAGCAGAAGACAGGGCGACATCTGGTGGCGGCGCTGAAACCTTCCAACATCAGATTTACTGTTCATCATACATAAAAAATAACGTTGTTATTTTCCAGTGTTCTCACTTGCTAACAAAACTGAAGTCACAGTCAGCAAAACTGAAGTGCACGTGGACAAAAGTGTGAGTCATTTATTAAATTAATTCAATGACCACTTTCTCAGTAGGCTACTGCTCCACCAACACTGTGTGCAAAACTGTTTAAACACATTCAAAACAGAATGATGGCAAATGTCAATTTTACTTACTTTAATGTTTACCTCTATGTGCATATAGAACTGTGTGTAGTGTTTTAAAAACCAAAGTCTCTTTCTTTTCTGTATCACAATGACGTCCTATGTAAACAAATTACAGTGCAAACAGTGAAAGCTGTGAATCCTGTCCAATCTCTTGCAATGTGTAACTTTGACTATCTTGTTTATGAAAAATGACAAATGGACTTATAATTCTGATGCCCAGACATAGGATTTCAAGCAACTTAACACCTTTTGCAGGTAATCCTCTGTGCTGTTTGTATGGTCTGTTTTAAGAAATTCTCTTACTGTTTTGCAAATGTTAGAGATGATTTGAGAAATGTACCAAAGTGACTGAGAAAAACTATAACACTCATTTGGCAACGAAATTACTCATGTAGCCTAAGTAAATTTATTGATGCACTACAGGACTGGAGATGAAATTGACTATCCACACAGTAAATACTGGACTACTTGGTTGAATGAAAGTGTCGTTGTTGGCTCACACTTTTGTCTCAGCCATTTCTGTTTGCTACCACGTTTGTATTTTGTTTGTGAGAAAGAAATCTAATGTGGTGTAACACAAGTGTTGAGTTAGTTTTAGCACAAAGTGACTCCCTTGACCTCAGGGGACCCATCTGCACCTGAAATTTGCAGACGACACTACGGTCAACGGCCTCACTGAGGGTGATGACAGTCTGTTGACACTGGTTCAACACAGATTGTAGATTTCAGACAACATTTGTGTCTCTTACATTTCTTTTTGGCTTCTGGGATCAATCTCTATGAAGTGTGAGTCCCATCATCAAAAAATGGCCAGCGAAGGAATGCTTCCCGTATCTGCTTAGGAAGCTCAACCTTCCTCAGGAGCTGTTGAATCAGTTCTACACTGCAACCATCCAGGACTTCTACTCCTCAGAGTCAAGAAACATACAGGGAAAATCACTGCAGTGCCATCACACCGTGAACGTCAACTCTGTACAACAAAAACTAAAATAAAACACAAAAACAATTCCTGTGCCACAACCCTGCAATACTAAATCATCTTTCTGTACATTCTTATAAGATAGGTACATAGATAGATAGATAGATAGATAGATAGATAGATGTTATGTTTCTTTTTGAAAAGGAGTGTGAGCAGAGCAGAGGTGTCAGCTATCGAAGGTCCATCCAAAGAACACAGCAGTTTGTCATTTGTTTTCTTTAAACCTGAAATCACTCTGAACCCCCTCTGTGATCTATATAAACACACAATGCTCGACACAAACCAAACGCCTGGCTCAGCAGAAAGCTGAGGCTCCTTTCAGATCCAAATCTGAGACCCCCTCGACTACATAGTAAACACAGGGCCTCACTGCTTTTTGTAACTCGACGAGCTGCTAAACTTCAGGGGGTTTAAACTAACTGAACCTGGGAAGAGCTGGACAGAGCTAAGGGTAGGGAGACAGCACAGGGCCAGAAAAGAACCAGAAGAACGCCAGGAAAGAGCCAGAAAAGAACCAGAAGAACACCAGGAAAGAGCCAGAAAAGAACCAGAACATAACTGGGAAAGAGCCAGAAGATAGTCGGGACGGAGCCAGAACATAGCTGGGACAGAGCCAGAAGAATGCCAGGAAAGAGCCAGAAAAGAACCAGAAGATAGTCGGGACAGAGCCAGAAGAATGCCAGGAAAGAGCCAGAAAAGAACCAGAAGATAGCTGGGACAGAGCCAGAAGATAGTCGGGACAGAGCCAGAAGAACTCCAGGAAAAAGCCAGAAAAGAACCAGAAGATACCTGGGACAGAGCCAGAACATAGCTGGGACAGAGCCAGAAGACAGTCGGGACAGAGCTCCCAGAAGATAGTCTGGACACAGACAGAAGATAGTCGGGACGGAGCAAGAAGATAGCCGGGACACAGACAAGAACGCAAGGAAAGAGCCAGAAAAGAACCAGAACATAGTCGGGACAGAGCCAGAAGATAGTCGGGACAGAGCCGCCAGAAGATAGTCGGGACACATAAAGAAGATAGTCGGGACACAGACAGAAGATGGTCGGGACACAGACAGAAGATAGTCGGGACAGAGCCGCCAGAAGATAGTCGGGACACATAAAGAAGATAGTCGGGACACAGACAGAAGATGGTCGGGACACAGACAGAAGATAGCCGGGACACAGACAAGAATGCCAGGAAAGAGCCAGAAAAGAACCAGAACATAGTTGGGACAGAGCCGCCAAAAGATAGTCGGGACACAGACAGAAGATAGTCGGGACACAGACAGAAGATAGTCGGGACACAGACAGAAGATGGCCGGGACACAGACAGAAGATAGTCGGGACACAGACAGAAGATAGCCGGGACACAGACAGATGATAGCCGGGACACAGACAGAAGATAGTCGGGACACAGACAGAAGATGGTCGGGACACAGACAGAAGATAGCCGGGACACAGACAGATGATAGCCGGGACACAGACAGAAGATAGTCGGGACAGAGCCAGAAGATAGCCGGGACACAGACAGAAGATAGTCGGGACACAGACAGAAGATGGTCGGGACACAGACAGAAGATAGCCGGGACACAGACAGAAGATAGTCGGGACACAGACAGAAGATGGTCGGGACACAGACAGAAGATAGCCGGGACACAGACAGAAGATGGTCGGGACACAGACAGAAGATAGCCGGGACACAGACAGAAGATGGTCGGGACACAGACAGAAGATAGCCGGGACACAGACAGAAGATAGTCGGGACACAGACAGAAGATAGTCGGGACAGAGCCAGAAGATAACCGGGACACAGACAGAAGATAGTCGGGACAGAGCCAGAAGATAACCGGGACACAGACAGAAGAACACCAGGAAAGAGCCAGAAAAGAACCAGAACATAGTCTGGACAGAGCCAGAAGCCAAGACAGAGCCATAAGGTACAATGTGAGTGTGCGTTAGTTTGAGTGTTTGCATAGAGCTCTGGCCGGGTGGATGACATCATCATGACATCAGCAGGGTGCGTTTTGTTTTGTGCTGAACATCCCCTGCGGGTGGAGAGCAAACGTTTGGAGAAACATAACAGAAGTAAATATACAAAATAACTGAGTACATTATATTAGATCATGCAGGGGTGGACAAAATAACATGAACACCTGTGCAGAATGACACAATCCATTGCAACAGGTCTCCAGAGGGGACGAAAAACCAACAGGGGGACTGGATCAGAAAGGGTGAGTCAATGAAGCAAAGGAGGAGGTGACTAAGTACATACTTTTTATGGACATTTGTTTCTTCCATATTGACATTCCATTTCATGTTTTCTTGTCTAAATAAAACTTTCTCAAAGCATTTTCATTTGTTATTTTACATTTTGTGTTGTTTATAAATAGAACTCTTTAAAAAAATGCTTTAAAAAAAGTAATGAAAACAAAATCAGACGTTTCAGAAGTGGTGTGGACATGTCCTCAGCGTCCCCGGTGTAAATGACACCTATGGAACAAACAAACAAATGAAGTGAAATAAAATACTTTAATATTTTTACATTTTAAATATATGACACCTTGGATATAACAGAAAAAATATCAAACAGGGAGGGAAATATTCAACATGGCTTTAAAGGACAAATTCTGGGAACAAGTTGTTGACGCCACTCCTGGTTGTGACCACGAGGTGTCGCCCTCTGCACACGGTTCACAGGTTCAAGGTTCTGCACGTCCGTGGCGTTTGGAGGGAAATACTTTCACTACTCTGCATTCTGTCCAATTTTATTTATGTGACAACCACAGTTACTGGTCACACTGAACATTTCATATTCAGCTCAAGATAAATGTGGTTGTTGTCAGCTGATCCCCCTGTCCACATTCATTTGAAAGGGGCGTTTTTTTTCATGGCGTGCTCTTTGTTAAAGGAAATCTTAATGTTACAGCAAACACTTTTAGACAATCATTCTTCCAACAGTGCTTTGTGTTTGTCCTTTTCCTCTTTCAATATGACCCGTGCACAAAGCCAGCTCCATAAAGAAATGGTTCTCCCAGTTTGGTGTGGAGTGACTTGACTGGCCCGCTCAGAGCTCTGACCTCAACCCTGTCCAACACCTTTGGGATCAACTAGAATGGAGGCCCTCTCGTCCAACATCCGTATCTGACCTCGCAAATGCTCTTCTGGGCAAAAACTCCTGCAGACAAACAACATCTTGTAGAAAACCTTCCAAGAAGAGAGGAAGCTGTCACAGCTGCAAAGGGGGACCTCCGTATAAATGCCTATGGATTCAGAATGGGGTGCCATAAAAGTAATGAGTAGGCGTCTCAGGACTTTTGTCCACATAATGTAAATATCTTGCTTCAGGTGGACACACTAAGTTTTGTATGTTTTCTATAACTTTTCATTGAGAGAATTGTCTCAACCGGTATGTGATCCATTAACTGACCTGAGAGCAAAAGACCAAACGGCACAAGACATTGAGTTTTAACTCCTCAACATCGTAGTGCAGCAGTCTGATGCAACTACTAACATGCTTGTTATTACTTAACATGCTGTGGCAGATGAACACTCTGTGCTCCTTTACAGAGTTTCAAGTCTTCACACACACTTTCTCTTTAACTACCTGCAGCTGAAGCAGTGGCTGTGCGACACACAGCTCGGGGAGGCAGTTGCGATGCTGTGAAACACTTGGTGCCTGCTGCCAAAAATCACACTCCTTCTCTGAGTCATAACTCGGTCAGATCTGGACACACAGACGTGATACACATGTTCCTAGATTCAATTTGACTTACACTTTCACTAGGAT